AGAGGCAGAAATGGACTCTTTTCGAAAGGTTAAATATGGACAAAACAGTGGAAAGTTCAACACACCATGCATTATTTGTGATCTTTGCTGATAACGTCAAACCGCATATGCAGACAAACCTGTAGAAGTAGCTGCAGTGAGCAAATCTAATGGCTCTCAACTACATTAGAGAGTCTAGACACATACACACACAAGCAGCGCACATAGGCTTACACCCAGATGCACATACACCTCCTATAACCAATTATCTCTTTCCTTTTCTTTGTTCTCTCTGTGTCGCTCTTATCTTCTCTCAATCTATCCATCTTTCTTCCCTTCACATCAAATTAGACAACCGTCTTCTGGCAGTGCTCTGTAAACTGCATTATCCTGTCACAGACAGAAGTGAGAAATTAAGCAAAAGAATTGGCAGACTATCATGAACCATTCTGTAAAGGAAGAGAGGAGCGGTGCCGTTTGCTTTTTAAGTCACGTTCCTCTTCCGCCAGGCAATAACTCGATTAGATCTACACATCACAGTCGATGCCGAAGCTGACTTGGATTTTGCCGAGAGTTGAAAACATCAAAATTGAATCCCTGCCTGTGTTTTCACACAAAAAAGTGCGTTTTGAACTGTGTTTCAGAGTTTTTTTGTTTTTTTTTCTTCCCTGAATTTACAAAAAGTTTAAAAATTCAGGGCATTTTGATCATGAAAAATAGATCAATTCACCAAAGTATGAGTGGATTGACAGCTGGTAGAAGAACGTACTTTTGCTAGGAGATTTTGTTCATGAAAGTGCAAACACTCTTAAAACTGAAGGGGTCTAAAGGGGTCTTTGGAGAGCCTTTGGTTCCATGAAGAACCTTTCAATGAAGGATTCTTTAAAGAACAATTTTTGTGTGAAATGTGTGAGTGAAGCACCTTTTTTTTTATTTATTTATTTTTGTTAACTAGTTTTCTAGTGATTGCCAGTTTCACCCACTTACTAAAGTGTCCCCCAGTGCATAATGATGCCAAGCTGGGAGGGTGAAGTCTAGCACATACTTCCTCTGAGACATGTGAAGCCAGCTCAGTGCACTTGAAGGAGAACAATAACTTCCGGTTCTGTTATGTCAGCTAACAAATGCCCACGGTCAGGCACATGCACAGATAGATCCCTGAGGATGCTTGAGCCCCTGCTTTTTCACTCTAAAGACTGTACAAGTGCCCCCTTGGTCGTTGTGTGAAGTCATTTTGATTTATAAGACCATACTTCCAAATCCTTTTTAGCGAAGTCAGGCTTGCCCAGGGAATAGAGCTCTGATGAGTCTAAAGAAAGGAAAGCCTTCTTTTTAACTCTGCTGCCAGAGGAGTTACGTCACGTCCCCGTTTGATACAGTTAAGCCCATTTCACCCCAGCTACGATGCGGCACAGGTGGTGATCATGTTTGTTATTTCACACTCGATGCGTTTTTTTTGTTTGCGTTGCTTTTTTATGTAATACAGATGTCCATATTGTTTGTTTTTTGCTTACATAAACTTTATGTAGATGACATACAGAGATCAACAGTAAAGACCTGACTTGCTGTCATGATTGTTGCTAGCTTTCTCACCATGTGATGTACAGCTATATGAAGAGGGGGAGCTGTGTGTGGGTTCAAAACATTAACCTACATTAACAAGGAATTTCTCTCACCTTGTGAAAGAGTTAAAGCTACTTTAATTGGTTGGTTTATTAGCCTAGATTGTATATTATAGCTGCATTTCTTTACTGTTTCTGCCTAGAAACTGCTAGCGTGCCACATGCATCCAAAATAGACCCAAAGCATATTTTCCACATGCTGCATGATGCACGTGAAAGTCTGTGTTTTCTATCACTGTACAAAAGATGCACAAGGCTTCCTTTATTGTTGGAGCTCATTCAGAGTGACATTCAGGGCTGGCTTTCCCAAAAGCTTCTTAGCACAAAAAAGCTACCTTTTTTAAATGGTAGAGCGAGCTTCACTTTAAACACTCTCTCTACCAGTTAAGATGATCTTAATGCTACAAAGCTTTTGGGAAACCAGATTGATGGGCTTATGATTCTTTTGTTTAATCAGAGTAACAATAAAAATGTGACTGATGTGTGACTTGTATTCCTTTTCATGTTTTTCTTGTTTGAAATGTTTGTTTGTGACCCAAATGAATTAAAAATCTCAAACTTCAGCTTTGTTAGATCATTTTTTTTACATATCAAAATAAGCACAACAGCAGAACTGAGAAATCATATGATTGTCTGAGAAGAGCAGATTAAATCAGCAGGAATGGACATTTTTTGCATCAGGCTAAAGGGCTTTAGGGTTGGCTTGAATTCCACAAGGTTCACTGCTCTTGAGGGGCCCCTCTGGTGCAGTACTGACTGCCTATTGTAGTTTGTGAGACCTGCATGCATCACCACAGCACTGTAACTCCTACCAATAAAGCAATAGGAATCTCTTTAGGATGCAATTAAAGTCTATAATATGGTTATTTTAATCAACATCCAAACTAATAGCACTCATAACTCACTAAACCACGTTTTTATTGTTGTAAAAAACATTATGCCAGGCTCTGTGGCACTTTTAAATAAAGTTGCATCTCAGAGATTCATAGTAGTTAGGTAGCATAGATGCCTAGCATCACACTGAGAGATGGGGGGAAAGGGAGGCCAGTTATGGACTCTCAGCCTTGGATGGGTGTGGCATCACTGGCGATTAAACTCTCAATCTCTTGATGACAAAGCCAATGTTTAGATAGTTAGTTCAAGAGCCTAAGAACTTCACCATTTTCCAGAACCTCCTCATCCAAAGATTTTATGTAGAACCATATGTTGAAGCCAAGAACAATTTAGGAGGCTTTGTTTTTATGCTGGGAAGATTGGAACAGACTGAGTTGTAAGCATTTGTTCCAGCCTCAATGTAACAAAAGAAAGCCCTGTTTTATGAAAAGCTGCTTAAGAAACAGAAACAGAAACTATGATGATCAATAGTACAGGATGGAGCATAATAGATCATGCTGTGGTTAAGTAACAACAACAATCAAGCATTATAACTGTCATAGTGTTTTTCTTCTTCACTTGCTCCAGAGTGTCTATAAGGCTTAAGTTGTGTCACAAGATATGTAGTATGTTGTGATGTTTGGTGGACATTTTGATGGACATTCAGAAGCTTCTGTTTCTGGACTCATGTGCTTGTCAGGGTTTTGGAGAAGCTGGCATTACTTTGTTGAGTGTTAAGCCCATGGTCACTAGCAGGTTAGTAAGACAGCTGTCTAAATATGAGCCAAACAGTCACCAACAAATGAGGCCCTATTCCACGTTTCCCTTGTATTTTATTTCCCCACTCTGAAGTCCTTTTTATATCATTTTCATAATTTAGTTTTAAACCATCATTTCACCATCTTTCTTTATCACTTTGAATTAAACAGGTTGCTTTGGTTAATCATATATGTAAATGACCTGTGTTCTGATTGGCTGGGTTGTAGGTTAAACTGCTATAGTCTGAATGGGGAGGTCAAATGTAAAGGAAAATTAAATTGTCCATTCTGTGGACCCTTCTAGGGGAATTGTGGAATTAATTCCATTTCTAAAAGGCTGTCATTTGGAGGAAAGTACATATAGAGATGAGAACACTATTTTAGAGATTCTCTTATTACACACAATATGAAGTGACTCAGACATGAAAGAAACTTAATCCAAAAATAGAGCATTCATAGCTTGAACTTAATTTATTTATATCACTTTTGTTCAGACAACAACAGGGTATCTTTATCATTTGAATGTCAATATGCTTAAAAGTACATTGCACTGCAGTAGGTCTATTACTTGGGGCTTGGAGGCTCTGTACTTTCTTCTGAGCCGTGGAACAAAGCACATCTTCTCGTGACTGTTTTAGTCGTTCTCAGCCTACTCTCATTCCGAGTTTTCGTTAAAGTTTTAATTGGTGTCTCACCAACCTAGACTCCCTGGAGTTGGCAGTGGAGCGGAGGATGCTGGCAGAGTTGCTGTGCATTATGGACAATGTCTCACACCACCACAGTGACACCGTGCTCAATCACTGAAACAGCTTTAGAGCCAGATTAATCCAGCCACAGTGCAATAAAGAGCAGTTCAGGAAGTCTTTCTTACCACGTCTATCATCATTCTATTCATCTATCTACAGTATTGCTCTTCATTTATTGAATTTCTGATCAAAACAGCCATTATGAAACATAATTAAAAGAATTATCCAAAAGCTAACAACTAAATATAATATTTTTTTTCAGTATTTCTCCACTCTTTGCCTTTATTGCATTCTTTTTGGAAAACTTGCTTTCAGTTTTTCACAGAATGCAGTGATATTTTTCCACACCTCCAAAGTTCAGTCTTACAGTCCAAGTAATCCCAAACATTCAGTGATGTTGAGGTCTGGACTCTGGGGAGGTCAGTCAATTGTTAAGAACACCAGCAGCTTCTTTGACTTGAAAAATTGTTGTCCTTTTTGTCAATTTCCTTTTCTCAGTAACAGTTTCTGGTCAGCTGCACATCCTTTCAGACTCAGTATTGAGTTGTCTTCTCACAGTGGAAGGATGGACAGAAACACTTGTTGATTGTTCAGATTTTCTCTCAAAGATGAAAGCTGTAAGTGCTGTTTATCTGATGGTTTTGGTGGTCTACCAGCTCCTGCACTGTTGTTAAGAGGCCTTTAATAACTTTTAATAGGAATGACTCTTTTAACTCCTGGAATAACTCCTGTTGTTCCACTTATTTTTCCTCAACTTGCCCCTTCCTATGGCATTAATTTATATGTAATCTCCTCAGAAACATCTCCTGAATAATGAACAACTTGTACTTGTGTGTTTTCACACCTTGCCTGTTGAGCTCCAAAGAAAAAAGTGTTCAACCATTGTTTCTAGTTAAAATTAAGCAAAATGAAGCAATAGTTATATGACTGAGTCACTCTGGGATAAGAGTTTACAGTGTGATATAAGAAAGTGCTGGGGTGAACCTGATCAACATGTTAACTGGTTGCTTATCAATCTTCAGGTGATTCAGCGTCGAGAGGACGGGTCTGTAAACTTCTTCCGAGAGTGGGATTCTTACCGAGATGGATTTGGCAAGATCACTGGAGAGCACTGGCTTGGTAAGTTTGAATTGGCTTGCATACATTTCCATGACATATATATATATATATATATATATATATATATATATATATCATCACTATCTTGACCAAACCTTGGATCTCTATTTGTTGTCATATTGCATTTTACATTGTGTTAAAAGGTCCTTATGAATGGACCAGCACAAATTACTTGGAGTTGTAGCTGGTTCCATTGACTTCCATTCAAAGTATTTTTTCCTTTTTATGTAAAGTTACCATTTTGGAGATACAAGACAGTGTGTATACACACACACACACTACTGTGCTACTGTGCAAACACCATATACTCATAATATATAAACCTGACTTAACCTATTAAAGGAGTGATTACACCAGGTTTTGGAAGGTAACTACAAGTAACACTGGGTTGCTATGAGGAAAGGTTTGGAAACGGTTAAACAAACACATTGACACTATAAAGTCTACTTATTGTATTAATTCTATATGTATTTATTCAATTATTAATATTTTTCTGAGCCCATAAACTCTGACTGCCAAGACAAACAGCTTTTTAAAACTAATGAATCAGGTGCCGTAAAACGTTTGTAACAGTACAGTATTATAATACATATTGGACATATGAGTTCTACATCCTGACATTGTATGAAAACAGCTGTATAAAACTGTGCATTTGTGTGTGCATGTATGCTGTTGTGAAGCTGCAAGTCCACTTTATCATCTGTCCCTTTTATCCTTTCATATTCAGAATCTCTTTTATGTGCTGACCAACTTTGGCAGCAAAATTGATGCCGGTTTTATTGCAATACAATATGCAGCAATTTCCTTCTTTTATTTTTCTTTTTTTCCTTTGTAAAGAATGACTCATGACCTGTTTAAAAAAAGCTGACCATTTTCCCTGTTAGAAACCACAGGGAAAAATATGTGCTTTTGCTTTTATTTTCTTCTTTTTTCCCTTTTCTTTTCATGTAATGAACTAGATTTTTTTTTTCTCTTTTCGTGGACTGGACGTGCTTTTGACAGTTGGAGGGCTCTAATCAAGCTCTTAACCCTGCAAAGAGGTTTAAACGGGGTGACTGTGCCCTGTGTGCACGTGTGTGTGTGTGTGTGTGTGTGTGTGTGCATAGACGGATGAGTAGAGATGACAGGCCTTTCGGACTGTATCAGGATGAATGGCGTGAAGAATGCCGGAAAAGAGACGAGTGGGAGGGGAGGGGTCAAGAGGACAAAAAAAATGAGGAGGGAAAGATTTCTAGGGACACTGAGGGTCCACAGGACATGAGGACAGAAAACAATATGTCTCAACAAACACCCCCACATGCACATGCCCAGATTAGCCCGGCAATGGTCAGCCATTGCGTCCGGTGGTGACATTCTGCTTCTCCAGCATTGAAGCTTTTCTTATTGCTCCTAGGTCCTCCATGCCTTGAATGCCTCTTTTTATATATTGTTTTGTTGTTTGTCACTCATAGGTCAACTCACAGTTCAAACAAGTGAAGAAATTTGGTCAAAAGTGTGAATTCTGATTCTGATTAGCAAAGAGAATGAGCCACAGTTAAAGGGTTGTTAGGCACAACGTGAAGCAGCGTTTTTTTTTTTGTTGTTTTTTTTTTTTTAAACAGCAATAATACATTTCATTTATTAAGATCCTCTGCAATCTTTTGTAGATTCTTAAATATTTTAAAAGTTTGTTCACACTTACACATTTCATTTACAAAACTGGTTCTTAAAATAAAACCAAAAGTGGTTCTCTTTTATTTCCCCAAAGAACTGGCAATATTTTTTGAACAGTGTACACCTATCTTTAATAAATTAAGCATATCTGATCTGAACGCACTGTATTGGCTTTGGAGTGGTCAGTTTGGGGAATGGTCAGACTGCTCGAAACAGCTTTATAGTGACCTGCATATACGGCCCCAAATGTAAAGGTAGTGTATTAAATAGCAGTGTAATTGTGTTATAAGCTACACCATGTACGATTTGGGGACGTGGAGACCTCTCTGGTGGAAATGTGTAATTGCATACAAAATTTTGTCAGCTGTGCTTCAGACCTCTTCCTCATGCAGATGAATCTGATGTTTGCGAGTGTGTTGAAAAAGCATTCAAAGAGAACTCAGTCAAAACTTGGTGAAGGTTCTGGGAATGTAAGTGAATGATCTATTGTTATCAGATCTTCTTTAGTATAATGTTGATTTTGCATTTGTGACCTAAACATCGAGCTAAACATTCTTTTTGAGTCTGTGTGTGAGACATAGATGTGTGAAGACATTTGCTGTGGTTAGAAAAACTTATTTCAGGCTTTACAGAGTGACGCACACATATTTTAGTGTTGTTTTCCTTCAAGTAATCTAACCCAATGCAAATCAATTGTATCAGTAATAACCCTAAACTTCTTAGGTCATAAAAAAAAACACCCCCACATACATGGCCAGATTTGCTTGGTGACGGTAACCCATTGCGTCCAATGATGAGTCTGCTTCTCCAGCGTTGGTGCTTTGCTTTTTAAACTCTGACTGTGACCATTGAGGCACACTGCTGTTTACCGCCGTGCTGTGTGAAGTATTAGTTTTGGCGTAGGTGGTGCAGTCCTGATCATGCGTCTCCCCAGACACCTCTATGTTTGTGATTCTTCTCTTCCTGTTTCTCTCCCTGCTGATGATGCCCAGTGGAATACTCAGCGGTGTCACCATCCAGCGTGGGCGGCTCAGCCTGCACATCTTCAAAAGTTGTCCCCAGCTGATCTATATGCTGCTGTTTCTGCCTCCCCATCTGGACCAACAGCCCAGGTGTAATTGACCATGCAGGATTTTCTAGGCCACGTGATTTTGGAGCATTTTGATGAGATGATCAAGGCGGCAAAAGTTGCCACTGGCTCACTGTGGGCTTTTAGAACTGAACAGTTTCATGAATTACAGTAAGGGGAGGGTGGTGAAACCAAGGTTACACCGAGGACGTTGGAGGGGACTCCAGCAACTTGAAAAGATTCATGTCTCGTGACAATGATAAAAGACAGTCATGTGATACTTGTGATACAGCCAAAAGTCTTATCTTAATAATAATAATAATAATAATATAATAATAATAACATTTTATTTACATAACACATTTCCAAAGCTCAAGGTTGCTTTTTCAGAACATCCAAAACAGGCCAGCAAAGCAGCCAACTATGAAACACAAGGGTATTGTGTTGTGTTCAGGGGATGTATTGTTTGGGGTTTGTTATGCTGCGGGACTCAGATTGTGAAGAGCGGCAGTGGGAGGCATCATTTTTGAGGCTGTTTGTGCTTCAGCATGGGAAGAACTGGGGAGTCAGGCTTTGTGCACTCAAGTGGTGTGGATGTGCTGAGGAGGGCTAGGTCAACAGCTAACATAAAGAGGTATGTTAGCATTCTAACCATGTGTGTATGGCGACGCTGTGGCCAATACAGCTCAAGCACCCGACTTGTAAATAGTTGAGTTCCTCTCTCCTTCCTTGATATCAAACATTGCCGTAATAACAAAAAAACAAAGCAAAACCAAGTTTTATAGGAGATCATATGGAAAAAGCAAAATAAAGACAGTAAAAGTATCTTGTATTTAATATGTGAATTAATGGGTAGCTGATGTAACTGGTACAAGACAGGAGTGATGTATGCACGTTTGGTGTGGGTGAGAACTCTAGCAGCCGAGCTGAATATATTGCTGTCTATTTAACATATTTGCAGGGAGAGCAGTAAGAGTAGAATTACAGTAATCAAGACGAAAAGTGATAAAAGCGTGGACCAGTATTTCAGCATCTTTTAAGCTGAGCAGTGGGTAAAGGCGTGGAGTGCTGTGAAGATGAAAAAAGGCAGGTTTTTTTAGGCTGGCAGGTTTATGTGAGGTGTGAAAGTTAGCAAAAGATCAAGATTACGGACTAACTGAGAAGACTTCACAATAACGTCGTCAATATCACAGAAAAATCTGATATCTTAGACAGCATAGACTTGGGACTATGCAACTAGCATAACGTTTTTCTTAGCATTCCATTCATAATTATTATTCATTACTATATGCTTTTCATAACAAAACAGAATCTCTAAAATGCTCAGTTTTAGAAAATGGGGGAAAAATGTCTTCACTATAATTAAGGACTGTTCTAGTGGTCTAGCATTAATTGATTGGTTGCATGGGGTAAACTGCAGCAGGCATTTTCAAATGGCTTTAAAAACTGTCTGTTTGTGCTGTTGTGAGTGAATGGCTAGACTTCTACATGACACACATTATCACTTTGTCTACCAAATTAGAAGTGGTTCAAATTTAAAAGCTTTGGTGCTGACAGCAGATTTAGGAACTATTTTGCATAATTATTTTGTCACAAACACCTCAGATGCATATTGTCAATATCCAGAAAATGTTATTGTTATCATTTTAGCACCCAGGCCTTTGGCGAGCTGGTAGCTTGGTGCACACAGTTTTGTTTTTGGAACATCCTTCTCCTACTGAAGGACACTGCAGAGCGGTTTAAATGGGGTGATTATGAGTTTATGTGTGTGTGTGTGTGTGTGTGTGTGTGGAGGGATGAGCAGAGATGACAGGCTTTTCTGTGCATTTCAGGATGAATGGAGTGCAGGATGCCAGAAAATAAGGGAGTCTGCTAGAAAGAGAGAACAGAGGGAGGAGAGGGAATGTTCAGGATTCAAATAGAGCTGAAAGGACACAAGAACTTAAGAGTACATGATAAACATTAATACATACTCAGATCAAATCAAATTTCACTCAACATCCAGAGTTCTCAGAGCTATCAGAGGGGTTAGAATCCAACAGGTAATTTAGGATGGTTTACATTTGGTCAGTTATATTTGGTCAATTATATTTAGGTCAATAATGTGCATTTTTTTGACCAAGTCAGTTATTTTCCAGTTACATTGTTTAAGAAATAGATGACTAATATCACATTATTCTAGTGTATCTCTTTTCATGTTAGACATTTATGCCTCCCAGAAGTCTAAAAATGTCTGGTGGTATGACTGTCCAACCATCCCATCATCTAAACCGCTTAT